GCGTCATAGAGTCACGAGTGAAATCCATCATCATAATGCCGACCCACAGCTCTGAGAGGACAGGCTGGTCGGCGTCTCCTCTGCTCCACTGTGGTTCTTTAGTAAAATACACCTGCCATTGGGCATATAGGAAAACTTCACTCCCTGGTTTGCATGCTTAACCCATTTAAAATGTAAATAGCATGTAAAATGATGAGGCCACGATGATGAGAATATTTCCACGGTCCTTGGACGAGGGGACCTTTTGATAGGGTTTATGGTTTTATGGCATCCGTGTGATTCTGCAGAATCTGAATGTATTTGAATTCGTTGGACTCGTTGTGACCAAAATGAGTAGGTGTCAGGCTTCCCTTTGCTCTGGGGTGGTGTCAACTGGAAAAGAGCTTTCCAGCAGCAATCTTTCTTACAAAGATTTTTTGTTGTGTGATACCAAGTGTATAGCGTGTTAGCAGAGACATGGCACACTTTATATATATATATATATATATATGTTATTTTTATCCATAATCTGCATATTCACCTTGTTGGGGCATCAACAATGCAGTTTATCAGCTGTATATGACCCTATTTATTCATCAAGTTAGAAAAGCTGAAAAAATATTTATAGAGATAAAAAACAATCACTGTAGAAAGATCACATAATGTTTCATGACACTTCACCAGTAGGAAGCCTACTTAAGCCTTGGTAATTACAGGTTTAGTTCTATTTACTTACAACCCCATTTCCAAAAAAGTTGGGACGCTGTGCAAAATGTAAATAAAAACAAAATTCAATGATGTGTAAATCATTTAAACCCAATATTTCATTGAAAATAGTACAAAGACAACAAATCAAATGTTGAAACTGAGAAATTTTATTGTTTTTTGAAAAATATTTGCCCATTTTGAATTTGATGCCAACAATATGTTCCAAAAAAGTTGGGATGAGGGCATGTTTACCACTGTGTTTCATCACCTCTTCTTTAACAACACTCTGTAAGCGTTTGGGAACTGAGGAGACCCACTGCTGTAGTTTTGAAAGTGAAATATTTTCCCGTTTTTGCTTAACAAAGGATTTCAGCTGCTCAACCGTTCAGGGTCTCCTTTGTCGTATTTTTCATTTTATAATGTGCAAAATGTTTTCAGTGGTGACCGGTCTGTACTGCAAGTAGGCCAGTTTAGCGCCAAGACTCTTTTAATAAAGAGCAATTCTGTTGTAATGCATGCAGAATGTGGTTTGACATTGTCTTGCTGAAATAAGCAAGACCTTCCCTGAAAAAGACGTCGTCTAGATGGCAGCATATGTTGCCAAAACATGTATATATCATTCCGCATTAATGGTGCCTTCACAGATGTGCCAGTCACCCATGCCATGTGCACTAATTCACCCCATACCATCATGAATACTGGCTTTTGAACTGGGTACTGATAACAAGCTGAGTGGTCTTTAGCCCAGAGGACACAGCGTCTATAATTTCCAAAAAGAAATTCAAATGTTGATTTGTCGGACCACAGAACACTTTTCCACTTCCCCTCAGTCTATTTTAAATGAGCTTGGGCCCAGAGAAGGTGGCAGCATTTCTGGATCCTGTTTATGCAGTTTCTTCTTTTGCATTTGTAGATGCAGTGATGAACTGTTTTCATAGACAGTATTTTTCAGAAGTGTTTCTTAGCCCATGCAGTGTTTTCCACCACAGAATCACGTCCATTTTTATGCAGTGCCATCTGAAGGGTCAAAGATAACTGCCACCAAATACTGGTTTTTGGCCTTGTCCCTTGCATACAGAGATTTCTCCATATTCTCTGAATCTCTTAATGTTATTATGTACCATAGATAATGAAAAGCAGAAACATAGCTATTTTATGTTGAGAAGCGTTATTCTTGAATTGTTGCACTTTTGTTTGCATTTGATCATGCAGTCTTTCACAGAGTGGTGAACCCCTCCTCATCTTTACTTCTGAAAGACTCTCTGGGATGCTCATTTTATATCCAATCATGTTATTGACCTGTTGCCAATCAATCACCAGGTGTTTTTTAAGCATTACACAACTTTAACAGTCTTTTGTTGCCCCCATCCCAACTTTTGAGGAATGTGTTGTTGGCATCAAATTTAAAATGGGCATTTATTAAAAAAAAACAAAAAAAACAATACAATTTATCTGTTTCATTTTCGATGAAATGTACGGTTTAAATGATTTGCACATCATTGCATTTTGTTTTTATTTACATTTTTCACAGCGTCCCAACTTTTTTGGAAATGGGGTTGTAGTTCCATATACAAAAGTACAACCCTCAATTCCAAAAAAGTTGAAAAAGTATGTGAAATGGAAATACAAACAGAAAGCATTGATTTGTATGAAAATTGTACAAATACAAGACCTGTAATGCTAATTTAAGGTTTTACCTTATCAACTTCATTGTTTTGTAAATCTATGCCCATTCTGAAACTGATGCCTGCAACATGTTCCAAGAAAGTTAGGACAAGGGCAAAAAATTACATCTTAAACAGGTGATGAAATCATACTTGGGTATACAAGGAGCATCCAAGGCCTAGTCCATTATGAACAAGTATGGGTCGAGGCCAAAGGTCAGTGAATAATCGAACAGTTTGAAAACAACGTTCCTCAAAAAGGAAATGCAAGCATTTTAGATATTTCAACCTCAATGTTACATGATATTGTCAAAAAACTGAGGCAATCCAGATCTTTCTCCACAATCTCTGTGCATAAAGGGCAAGGCTGAGATTTGATCTATGGATGTTGTGTTCTCTGGGCCAAAGAATCAAAAGACTACTTAGATTGTTACCAGCGTAAAGTTCAAAATCCAGGGTCTGTCATGGTATGGAGGTGTATTAGTGGATAACTTGTGAAGGCACTATTAACACTGAAGAATACATACACATTATGAAGCAAATATGCTGTCTTCCTGTCTTTTTCAGGGATGTCCATGCTTATTTCAACATGACAATGCCAAACCACCTTCTGCATGAGTTACAGCAACAGAGAGTATGGGTGCTCGATTGGCCTACCTGTCTCGCTTTAAAAACATAAAGCACGTTACGAAGCTCAAAATGTGATAGCGAAAGCCACATATGGATGCACAGCTGAAGACTTGCATGTCTGTATGATCTACAAATGATTATTAAGTGCTGTGAAAATGAAAGGAGATGTAAATGTGCTCCTGCCCCAATACTTTTTGATCTTTTTGTTGCAGCCATCAAATTTGAAGTGAGCGTATATTTATCAAAAAAACAAAACAAAACAGTATAACTCATAAAATCAAACACCAAATGTCATGTTTTCAATTAATACAGGTCAAACAGAATTTACTGTTTTCTGTTTTTATTAGCATTTCACACATACTCTCCAACTTTAGGTTTGAACACCTCTGATGGATTTGTACTTTTTTCAAATTCAAATACTTTTACTTCTGCTCTGGTATATTTGTGAGGAAATGAATTGACTGTTTCTCAGTTCCATTTTAAACCTTCACATTTATTGTTTGGGGTTTCATTTCATTCTGTTTTGTTGGTTCAGTGCCTGCACTGCTCTGGTGCTGCTCACACCTCTCACTTTCAAGCTTTTTGGCAATTTATTACAGACCAAATGGATCCTCAAAAGAGAAGAATAGAGGCTAACAAAATGCAGTTCTTATGCTGATAAATGCTGGATGCACTGAGTTCCATTACAGATCTATGGGGAACTCATTACTTGAGGAGTTTCTGGATGTGATACCTTTTGCTCAAGCTGTTTTTTACTCAGATTTGGTAGCTACTTTACTTCCCTAGTTTTTATTTAATTAAAGGAACTATACTTTTACTACAGCCTGGTTTTAGGCTTCTCCATTCACTTATGTATTACCCATATGAATTTGGAAAGGTAGTGTGGGTTGCCATTTTGAAGACCAGCTCACACATTTGGAGCAAAAGTGGACTTCCCAACCCTGGCCTGATCACGAGGACGATTTCCAAACAGCAAAGGGTACTGCCACAAACTGACCCATTTTAATCCACGACACAAGCTTAGGCATGCGTGGGCTTGTCCGGCACAGTGAAATCGCGAGTGGATCATGCACTCAAGCTGATTTTCCAGTTTATCTGCTGTAGAGCAAAGTATTTAGATGACTTTTCACCACAAAAAGTGAAACATGTATCATGTGCATGCTAGTCAGGAAGAATCTAACCAGTAAGTGGGTCATGCACAAGCTTTTTTCCCATCGGCTTCCCTGGTGCACATAAATACTTACAATGGATGCTTTTCTACAGGCAAAGGTTAAATATTGGTGTTTTGCATGCAGAGGGAAGCAATGCAACCACTGCACAAGCCAGTTCCCCACTTTGTAAAGGAAAACGTGAACTGGGATGAGTGCAATATGGAGTTTCCATGCAGCAACTTGGTAATAAACAGCAGAATTTTGGGCTTCCTAGTGAGTTACAAAGGAAACAATGGAAAATCTTCTATACACTTCAAAAAGGTTCTTCAGTAAAAGCAGTGGTTCTGTTTAGAACCATGAGTTCTATATAGAAGCATTGCATGCTTAAATGGTCTTTGCATTGTGAAAGGTTTCTTCAGATTGTTGATGGACAATATGTTATATATGGTTCTATATAGGACCAGGTTGAAAATGGTTCTATATAACACCAAAAACGGTTCTTCTACTGTTGCAATCTCACATCGTAACAATGGAAGAACACTGTTAGAGCTACACAGAGCCAATGACAAAAACCACATACAACACATTCTCTCCATCAATCTGAAGAACCATTTCACCATGCAAAGAACCATTTAAGCATGCCAATGGTTTTATATAGAACTCGTGGTTCTAAACAGAACCACTGCCTTTACTAAAGAACCCTAGAAAGAACCATCGTTCTAAGTCTGTACCAACAAACGTGTGTTGTCGAGTTTCAGAGGGAGAAAAGGCAACGAAAAAAGCAGAGAAGTGCATCAGGGAGGGAGCGTTGTGGTTTTTTTTTTTTGTGTTGCGCCCCCATCAGGACAGATTTGTGTATGAAAGAACAGGAAGCGGCGCAGAGTCACTCCTCACCACAGCAGCGGGGAGAGGAAAGCCCAGTTACCGTTTGGCTGGAAGTTTTCTTCGGCTTACTGTCCGTTTTATCGATTCGTTTTGGATCGAACATGAATAGAAAGGGGTAGAATTGATTTACAGTTCGGCTTCTTCGAGTTTGAGCACTTCAGCGCGGGGTTTTACCGTTAAAACAGCAGAGCAGCGGAGGGCTGTCGACACCACACTTTTGTGAAAGAGAGTTTGGGCGTGTGGCTCCTTCATTTGATCAACTTGTGCATGTTTGGTTTTTGAGAGTTTTTTCCCTCTTACGTCGTTTGAAAAGAAGGCCTGGTTGAAAATGGGGTGCACACTGAGCTCGGAGGATAAAGTGGCTCAGGAAAGGAGTAAAATGATCGACAGGAATTTGCGAGACGATGGAGAGAAAGCGGCGAGGGAGGTCAAGTTGCTTCTGCTCGGTGAGTTTAGCTCGTTAGCTAAAATACGTTACGCACAACGTAACGGCGCTAGCTAACTAACTTCACTAACTTACATTTCTGAGAGGTTTAATCGCTATAAAGCACAAATTTAGACTGTTCGTTCGTAGTAAAACTTTTTAAAACGACTCCAGAGGGTGTCTTCTTGCTTCAGAAATGCTATAATATCGATATATTGGCCGCCCAGTAAATACGCATACAGAAGTGCGGTTGTGAATAGTTTTTAAACTCTCATCGTCGAGTTTTGGTCAGTGAGCAACACCGTGGACCGCTGAATATTTGTATTCACTTTATTCTTCTCCCATATTTAGTGTGGGGAATATAGGAATCCACCATAACCAGCATATAGGAGTGTAGGTTACGTTGCGGCGTGTCTCGTTTTTAAATGAATACAGAAACCAAACCCAGTTAAAGGAGCCCAAGCTCTGATGTGATCATGGCTAAGGGGACAGGGGCTTCGCTGTAGGGACTCCATTTTAGAGGATAGAAAGCAGACTTAATACATAAAACCGCTTAGACTTTTGAAACTTAAGATATTTACGTTAGTCTGTTGGTAAATAATATTGTGATTACGTAACTCATTTTTAAGATCACTTAATCTCTTCTGTTCAGCGTTTAACTGATTTTTTAAAGGAAGTGGTGAAGAAGGTGCCGTGTCGTCACTCAGTTAATACTTGACAAAGCCAGCTTAGCCCACTGGTTTAAAAATACAGACACAGTTTAAACTTAAACTATCGAAAATAAGTGTGGATAGTTTGAAAACCGACGTACATCTCACTTCGTACTTTTTACCTTATAATAAGTCAATAAAGCAGCCAAACCAGTTCACCGCGTATTGATTAACATTTACTAAGGCACATTGAAGCTAAAGGGGGCTAACGATAACTAGCTAACCTAGCTAGCTGGCTAATTCAGTGCAAAGCTGGCTTGCTTTGGTTTTTTGACTAATGATTCTAAGACAAAAGCCATATTACATAGTTTTATATAGATAGAAACGCTGTGTTGGAACGATTGTGATATCAAATACCTTACATTTGCGTTAGCTAACGGGGCAGAGAAGCAGTTTTCTCCTCAGATTTGCTAAATATGAATTAGCCAGCTTTTAGCCAAGTAGTGTGTTTTCCGGCCTTGACCTAAAATGCTGTTCGGCGGTTTTTAAGCAAATGACTGGCAGTCGACAAACAAGAGTTTAGCTTGGATTAGTGAATTAGGGCCAGTAGATAACGGATACTGTAGAGTACGGCTTCTGGAGGACCCCTTCTCTTCACACTTCAGGGTCTTACCTGCGCCAATTCATCAGATACTTAAACACTACATGAACGTGTCAGTACAGAGAAAAAGTCAAATCTGCAGTTAAGGGTCCTCCATGAGGGGCCTTAGGAAACACTGCTGAAGTTACTGCTGACTTTGGCTGCATTCAGCATCAGGCCGGTTTGGTCATTTCGTTTTATTTAGGATCCCAAAGTGACTAAATGTAATTTAAACCACTTTTCTATTAAGTCACATCTGTACGCATACACCTTGACCAAGGGTGCTGAAACAGAGCGCAGTGTTTGTGGTGCGCTGATGGTCACCAGACATTGTACAAATGCTGTGGTAGATTTCAAAATGACCTTTAACAATAGATTTTTACACTACTTTAATACTAAAATTCTTCAAAAATACAGTTATAATAGAGACAGAATGTAATCAGTTGTATTTACTATAAAATGTTTGTTTTCTAATTGGGTGAGTGGGTGGGGTTAAGTTTTTTTTGGTGGGCTAAATCGAACGTCTCCATGGACCAGCTTTGGTCAGCCTTGACGTAAACCCTCTATCTGACATTTCACTACTGATACATCAGTAACTCAGCAATACACATCATAACATTAAAATGTTAGTAATGTAGTTTGATTTAGATAACACATAACAAAGCAGATACCAAATATAAGCTATGTTGATCATCTACAGGTATCTACATACCTCAAGTGATCTTTTTCTTTTCTTCCTGAAAATTTGTTTTTTGTGAGAATTTGTTTTCAGTGCAACTTTGACATGTGACTGCTGGATATAAAAAGTACATGTCTACGTTATATATTTTTTTAGAATAGTTATTTTCTTTCGATTTGCTTAATAAAGTGTCTGTACTCATGAATTTCACTTTAGTCATAGAAACGAAACAAATGTGGGCCAATAAATCATCTATACGTTTGTTTGTTCGTTTCTATTTATTGAAGTGTTCATTTATCCCATTGGAGTGCCAGTTTGTTCTGCCCTTACTGCAGCTGAACTGTGTAGGCTTTTGGCGGAAATGAGGCTGGTATGATGACTTTCTTTAGTAGAGATGCTCCAGTATGAGAACTGTGGCTTCATGCTAACATCCAGTATTGGTCTTGTTCGTATCTGCTGATGCTACATGTTTTTTGAGGTGTAGAAATTATAGCTAGATTCACCTGTATTAACATTATGGAGTAATATAACCTTTATTTCTATAGGGTTACAAGTGCAGTAAAAATGAATAAAATGCAAATAATGTATCATTGTTGATTTTGAGCCAGGCTGACACTAAATGACTTGCAACCTGTGCTTGTAAGACTCTTTATTTTTTGCAGTGCTTCACTGGTATCTTACTTATTATCAGCTGGAAGTTTGCTTTGTCAAGCTTTTGGGAATAAATCCGTTTACCCATTAGGCAGATACACACTCCCCATAGGAGCTGGTTAATTAGCCAACCACTGGGTAGATTAAAAACTGCTTTAATGGTTGTGTTTGTTGTGGAGATTCGTGTCTGTCAGCACACATATTTGGTTCTATGTGCGCAATAAAGAAAGAGTTAAGCGTGTCTGAGGCTGAGGAGGATTTGGTTTGAGCCAAAGTGAACCCTTACTGTATCTCAGACAGGCAGCCAAAGTATCAGATGGCTAATCAAAAGGGTCCCTGACAGCAGCCTAAAGGGCAGTAACATAGTGGCCTGTCTCATGAAGCAGTCTTTGCCAGAAAACCTTCAGCTTAGTTTGATCTAACGCTGGATATTCTGTCTCATGACAGTGGATCACTTTTTACAGAGTTACATCACCATGGTAACTTGTGTTGCACGCCTAACCTGGTCCAGTGCAGGTTAAGTTGAGGATTATGGATCTGAGACAGACGATCTTCTGACCAATCAAGAACAGCCTTCTGACGGAGGTGGACATCTCTGGTCCTTTTCATTTTTGGTGTTAGTCATGTGAAATATGTTGAATTTCAGTAGAGGAAACAAATCGTCCTGCACAGATATCAAGAATGTAAAGCAGTTATTACTCCAGCAAGCGCTCATGGTGGCAGTGGTGACAGTGTTACTTGTTTCATGTGTAATTGCTTCACTTTCTGCGTATTTACGTAGTGTGATTTCATTTTCCTTCCTTAAAAGGTAAGCTGCCCTTCCTCATGTTTGATGCTATTGACTGTGACAGGTCAGAGAACGTTGTTAACCACTTTCCTGTTTTGTGAAGCTCAAATTTGGACCCCTGTCTTAGTTGTATTTGCTTTACGAGAGGCCCGTGGTCAGTGTGTTCTGCGTTTCTATGTGAATTGGCTAATGAACAAGAGTAAATACCGGACTGCACAATGCGATGGCTCTCATTTAGCCCACTTAATGACAGTTATCTCAATACTTCAGCCGAACATTATAAAATGACAAGAAAGGACTAATGAATAGAGCTTGATAATGGAAATAAAATACCACTGATAGGAGTATGAGCAGCACATATACACAGCAAATACCAAAAACAGAGAAATAAAGATGTGCACCATCAAATAAAAAAGAAACGAAATAGAAAACTCGTAAAATACAGTCAGCAGTTGGTCACAGAGTGAAAAGCACAGGGGAAAAGAAACATCTTCAAAATGTTCTTGAACATCTGTTGATTTTACTTTCTCAGCAGGCTGTTGACACAGCTGGACCTTTTTGTTACATTGGTAATTGAGTGTTACAGAATTAAAGCGAAACGTGTTAAACCTTTTGGTCAGGATGTGCGCTGGCAGCTGTTGGTCAGTTTACCCTCAGACTGCCCTCATACGTCTCCCAGGCATCGGGTGGTTGCCTGGTAACTAAATAACCAGCTCAAATTACCAAGCTATAAAAGTGGCAGGTGAAGCAGGCCAAACAAAAGGTGAAACTAGCACTCCGGGAATCAAGTTCACATGGAGATACGACGTGCTGTTCAGCACTGTTTGTACCTTAAGGGTGCATGTGTAGTATGTAGTACTATTTCTTTTTTTGGCCTAAAAGTGTCTGTGAATTTTCTTTTTTATTATTATGTATTAATACATTCACATTCATGATGAAGAAGTACATGCAGGGCATCATGAGGCAAAGTGGCCCCCAGAGAAAACCTATTTTTTCAGATTTACCATCATCAGCATTTACATATAAAAGCTCATGTGTAGGTTTTTTATACATGGTAGTAGTAAATAAAATACACATTTTGCATAAAACCACTGTAAATTTTGTATTTGTTTTGTTTATCTCAGCATTTGAGCTATGTAGCAATATTGACAAATCGATGGTATTCCCCTTTAAGTGCCCTGCAACACTGCAAGAGTTAAACGTAACATCTGGTAGGCTTTGTGACCTTTCATAACCTACCACACATCACCACCAGCTACAGTGCTGTTAGTCGCGTTCTTTCTCATACAGATGACAGTAACAGAAATTAATTAAGGAAAGTATAAATGCAAGTAATTTTATGATCATTTGGTAATTTCTACATTCTTTTTTTCAGTCTTATCAGTTGCTTAGGCTAACATGAAGATGCAGTGTTATCACTGAATTTACAGGCCAGGCGCCTCTCAGTCTTCAGTTGTTGACTTTCGTTGATTACTGCATCATAAAGAAAGGACATGTGACATGAATGTATGCAGATTCCAATGTCTTAAATGTAAGCCGTATGAATATCAAAAGCAGCGATTAACTTCACCAAATCGTCGAGCCTCTCTTGATCGCAGCTGACCCTTCAATGTTTTTGTTAAAAATACTTTATATTATAACGTGGCTGTGAATTAAAGATATAAAAGGTCCCATAATGGTGTTTTTGTTTTTGTTGGTTTCCACTTGTGAAGTTTCTGTTGTTTTATGTACAGCTGCACATAACACACCTTTTAATTTTTTATGTGACCCATTTTCTGGCCTGTCTTTATTCCTTAGAATTTAAGAAAGCTGTTTTTGTCACATTTATATGCAAATGACCTCTGTTCTGATTGGCTGCTCTGAATTGTACCTCATTTAAAAAGCAGTTCAGGCTGAAACACTCATAACTTCAGTGTGAGTAGACGGCGCTAACCTGCTGTAGGCTGAATAGGAGGATGTGCGTAACTGCGTTGGTTTTTGTGGCATCACAACAGGCTGTTTTTGATGCGTATTTTCCATGAGAATATATGGAACATATTCTCCCATATTTTGTGTGTGTGTGTGTGTGTGTGTGTGTATGTGTGTATATATATGTGTATATATATATATGTGTGTATATATATATATATATATATATATATATATATATATATATATATATATATGTATATGTGTATATATATCTGTCTAGATAAGTGTCAGAGAAATCTAACATTTATTTCTGTAGTTACATGTACAGTAACAGTAAAAATGTATCCATATTTATTGAGAATCAGTGCAGTATGTGAAGGTTTGGTTAATAATCATTGTGTTTGTGGCACTACAAAAAAATGACACAGTGTTATATCTTGTATTGTGAACATATCTTTAAGTATCGGGTTACCCAGGCATCGGGTGGGGTAATACTAGGGAGTCAATGAAACATATTAATATTTATATGCTACACTAGAAATGAAAAAAAGTGTGATATTGTGTTCCATGAAAATGGTGCAATAATTCTAAGAAAAGTAATATGGATATTTACCTGTGCATTAATGTACATTTCTAAATCCTCTTTAATAGCACATAGTTTTGAAATAGTCGCTGATCAGTGAATGAGCAATAAGACCATTGATGAATCCAGTTGACTTTTCAAACTGCTTGTCACCAAATCACTGTTTACAAAATTGCATGCTTGCGTCTCGCTTTAGGTTTTCTGATTTGACTTTTGTTACTTCCCCCTGTTACCCAAGAGAGAAGATGACTGCAGGGTGTGAACAAATTAACATCCTGGGCCGTTGACGACAGTGGTTAATTTCTCAGCTGTGATCCGTACTCCTGTGGCCGCACCTCTGAGCCTTCTAGTTTGGAGCTGTTGTGTTTTGGGCCATATGTGCGAGGTGCTGAGTTTGCCTAATTGCTGTTGTTTGTGCTTAGGGACTCTCAGAGAAAGTGCAGCAGGCCCCCTCAGGCCATCCCAAAAAAGCCGCTTAGGGAGGAGCTGTGACTAATTGAAACACGCTCGGCTGAAGTCAGTTGGCTGGCTTAGAGATCTGCTGCAAGTAAAAAAGTGGGAAACATTTTGCTGCTGCCTTTTTTCATCAGTCATAAGCAGCGTTCCAGACTCGAAAAATTCTCAAAGGCAAAAATGTAGGCCTTTGTTTTTGACTAGCGCAGTGGAAAGTTTTATTTCTTTATAAAAAATTAGCCTTGAAAATATAACTTAGTTCCCTCCTCTGTGGCTGTGTAGCATTATGCCTGTCCTGCAGCATCTCACTGAAGGAAAGTTGAGCATAACTCATTCTTAAGCCTGGAAACTTTTCACAACAGTTGTGCTTTGCAGGTATCTTGAAGGCATGTGTCTGAATCGGGTGCAGCTAAGATTCACTCTGGTTTGGAAGAACTTGTGTCGACTGTTTTCGCAGCACGTACAAACGTTACTTCAACGTGATGCTTAAATGTCATTTGATAGACACAGAATGACCCACTGGATATGATCGCTGAGCATTACCTCAGTTTGTGACTCAGTGTAGTTCATACTACAGAACGTCAGTGACTGTGTTCACTTCAGTTCAAACTGCATGATAATAGTTATCATATTTGTGTCTCAGTATGCAGCTGAGGTTTGAAGCCAAAATATTTTTTTAATTTTATATATATTTTTTATATTTTATATTTAATTTTATATATATATATATACATAACACACACACACCCACACATGTTTATATAATATAATATAAAAAACACACACACACGTGTTTATAGCTAGGCCCTGACTGATGTGCAATATTGATCCCCATTTTAAGAAGCTAATTCTTATAACTGGATTGATTATAATTTTATATGCTCAAAGATTAAACAGTGCAATAGTTTTAGTTAAACTGTTCTTTATTGATTATCTTTATTAACTCAGTTTATAAGTCTTGGAAGCGAAATAGTGTCACATTCCTGAATGTGTTTTTTTTTGTATGTAACATTTAAAGCGACGGTATCTGAGCCCATAAATTTGTGTAATCTTTATCATGTTCTGTCATTTGGGCGTTAGTTAAAATGGTTCCAAAATGTTCTAGAACTTTAATTCATAGTGCATAAAACATCTCTAAAGTTTTCTAGCTGAACACACTCTTCCTTAGCTGAACGCATACCTTTTGCTTGTGATTAAACCTATAATCGAGGCATGCATAATCAGGTTACAGAGATTTGCCTGTAATCCCATTGTAGCCAGGTTGTGATTAATTAATCCAATCAAGCTGACACCCACTTGGCTTTACCCGTGTTGTGAGACCAGTGGTGTGCAGACTACTGTTGAAACAGTTTACTGTTCAAATTATCTGCATGTTGCACATTTTTTAAGTAGTCTCTTGATTTTGCAGAGCTGATATGCTCATGGGGGGCCTCCCAACTGCTTCCATATAATCACCATAAGATTCCCACTTCCCTTTATTTCTCTTCCTTAATTGCACTGCGTTCTGTTTGTGGATTTGCTTGTGTGGCCTGTCTTTAGACTGCAAACTTTGCTTTGTGAACTCTCTGGGTTTTTTAGGCGTTAACATTTTCCCTGCTATTTTTTTAATAATTTATTTCTTTATTTTGGTTAAGGATATCCCAAAATGGGAATTGTGGGCTGATGCTAATATCCAATATTTTTCATGTACATATCTGCACATGCAGATACATGAACGTGACTAAATCCACATAGATCAGTGTTTACAGAGCGTAAATGAATTTCAAATATCTAACGATACCACTGTAAATCCCTGATTTTTGTCAGTTTTGCTGAACACATGTAGATTTGTTTGTGCTCTCACATGGGTTGGGATAAAACAAATGTTCCTTTATTAGATAGATGAAGATTTTGCAGCATCTGACTGTGTGGGAGACTTGTAGTCTGAGCGTGCTTTCAGTAGTTGACCTGTGTCAGAAGTCCGGGGAGCGTTAATGTTTGTAACTTTTCTGTTCTCTTATTTTGCTAGGTGCTGGTGAGTCTGGGAAGAGTACAATTGTCAAACAGATGAAGTAAGTCTGCAAACCATCTCCCTTCAGCAATAACATTCTGAAAATCTGTTGTTTGTGCTTGATGCCAAGCGTAGCCTCACTTTATTTATTTATTTATTTTGTTTTCAGAATTATTCATGAGGCAGGCTACTCAGAGGAGGAGTGCAAGCAGTACAAGGCCGTGGTGTACAGCAACACCATCCAGTCCATCATTGCCATCATCAGGGCCATGGGCCGTCTGAAGATTGACTTCTCCGACCCTGCCCGTGCTGTAAGTGCTGCTGTTAGTGCTGATGAAGGGAGGGGACCTTTGTGTTCAACAGTAGCTGTTTTCCAGTCATTTTCATCTCGCCGGTTAGGTCTGAACAGATATGACGAGATGGCTTGATTGCTAACAAAAACAGAGCAAGAGCACTTGATGGAAAAATGTCCTCAGCACAAACTGTCTGTGGCTGTCGTCAGACTGGCTGATTGTGATTGGCGTTTGTGTGTGTGTGTCTGTATTGCAGGATGATGCGAGGCAGTTGTTTGTGCTGGCAGGCTCAGCTGAAGAGGGCTACATGACTGGAGAGCTGGCTGGCATCATCCAGCGCCTGTGGAAGGACGGAGGAGTGCAGGCCTGCTTTAGCCGCTCCAGGGAGTACCAGCTCAATGACTCTGCTTCATAGTGGGTGTCATTCTTTCTGTTTGTTTTACTTTGTGTTCTCTACTCGGGACCTAATTCCCAATGATAATTGTAGCTTAACATGGTATTTTCAGTCACTCGATTGCACTTGAACACAGCACAGTCCACAGAGCACCTACACAGCTTACACATATTCATCCGTGTTTATTTATAACAGTGTTGAATGTTTTCTTGTTGGGAATGTGACACACAAACACTTATTTTAAAAATCAAGTTCATATTTGAATTTGCACTCAAGGCGAAAGTAGTTAAATGTCCATTAACAGTGATAAAACTCTTCTGTTTTCAATGACTTTGAAACATTAAGGCTGTTCTCTGTGTGTCTCCTTTTGAGACTGTTTGGGACACAGTTCCTATGCAAAAAATGTTTAATGAAATCATTCTGCCGTTAATGCATAAATCCACCAAATAAACAGTACCAAAAATGCACCAGTATTTCAGAATTACTTTAGAGATGCAAGAATGTGAGCAAAGAAAGGAAAAACATGCTTAAGTCAAGTGAGTGAAGTTATCAAGTGAGTTGTGCTTTGGGCCAAACAGCTGCACGAATAACCTTAGCATGTCCCCATCGCTCTGCATGGTGTCAAAACAAAGCAAAAAAAAACATTTTAAATGTGCACATCTCTCTCTCTCTCTCTCTCTCTCTCTCTCTCTCTCTCTCTCTCTCTCTCTCTCTCTCTCTCTCTCTCATAAATCTACACATTTTAGACAGACACACAGAGAGATAGATAGCACTGCTAGTCACTCACTTCTCTCAGAAACAGAGAGGTCACCAGAAAAGACTGATATGTTGTCCAGGTTTCTGCAATCATTGACACAGGCTGCTGCTGTGTTTTTGTTTGCTTGTATTCGACACATCATACTTTGACCAATCCAGTAAGGCAGTGGGCAGGATATTAAGCCAGAAAGTTTACTTTTAGCTGTGGTTGTGTTATAGATGTACGTAGCTTCCATTTAAGCTAAAATACAGATTCTAATGATGGGCAAAATACTAAATATCTAGTGCGATTATTGCCTGGGCTGATTATTGGTCGACCCCAAAGATGTCTTCTGTAAGGCCACCCCGCCATTTGGAGTAGAGAAGCTGCTACTGATGTGCCCTCATCTTTGATTGTGTATTGCTCATTTGTTTGAGCGGATTGATTGCAAGCTTAAGGCTGTTTGGTTAGACAGTTCTATTGCCACAATAAATAATTCCTATCACTGGTCAAATCATATCCTTCTCCTTCCAAACGTCTTTATTACAGAGCTAAAATATCATCTGAGGTGGAGTGTGCTCTTAGTGGAAGGGGCAGTGGAGTGAGCAGTCTCTGGAGTTGAGAATGGCCTAAGTGGTCTTAGTTTGGCTTCATGCAACATCTCCATCATTTCATTCTTTCACTCCAACAGCTTCTTTCTCCTCTGGCTTTCCTACTGTCACTGAAGTTTTTCAATATCAAGTGTTGAGTTATTGATGTTTTTTTCCCTCTCTCTCACTTCAGTGATCTCAGATTCAAATATACTTCATGCAAATTCTCAAAAATGCAAATAACATGGATGTGTGTTCAAAAGTATGATGTGACAAAACCTCGCCTTTTGCATGTGATATGCAGGCACACAGGGATATGCAGGGTAGTTCCTCTCTTTAGGACTTTAAAGTTCAGGATTGTACAGGGTGGAAGCATGTTGTTTTTAGATCTAGCCTGTTCTCACCTTTACAGATACAGTCTAATCTGGCTTTGGATTTTTTTTTAAAAAGTGTTTTTGATAACATGGATATGTAATAAAATGAAACAACCAAGAAATGACCAATATGAGCACAACATGAGCAGAAATGTCTGCTGACATACAACAGGCCTGTGTGAAGATTAAGCACCCATTAACATTTTTACTTTTTTGAGATCGATATCTTTCTGCTCTTCTCCTGTTCTTAGCTACCTGAACGATCTGGACAGGATATCGAGCGCTGCTTATGTCCCCACTCAGCAGGACGTGCTAAGGACCAGGGTGAAGACCACCGGCATTGTGGAGACCCACTTCACCTTCAAGGATCTTCATTTCAAGTGAGCATCTACATTACATCAAATGAAGCACCAGCCCATGTAACAAACAGTGTGTATTTATCCAGCGACCTGTAACTCAAAAATGACACGAAATATTAAAATGCTGCGGTGGATGCTTTCGTTTGCATGTTGTGTCTAAGGGTTTTGTGTGTTATCTCTGTATGCTGATTGTGTGAGCAGAGAATGGGCCGTTTGTTTATGCTATGCATTTTTGTTGTGGAATTTGTTCCTTGCCTCCAGCACATGCCTGAGTGTCTGGTGTTAACTTCCCTTATGTTATGTCTCGACCTCACCATAATATCTAGTTAGTCATAGGTGTACAGGGCAAAGAAAGGACAAGCTTATTTCAGTCACTTGGGAGCCCTGAAGAGATTGACTAAAAGATTGCAAACTAAGTCTCCATACTACTACTACTACTACTACTACTAATAATAATAATAATGATAATCATAATTGCTGTAGTAGTTATGATAAGCATTTTTATATGGCACCTTCTTAACATAAGTTTAAAGTGCTTTGGAGGGAGATTATAACAAAACAAATACGTCTAACATAGAGGACATTAAAATGACCCTAAAATAATTAATAGTAGACTAAAGTAATTGTGAAAAATTGTCATTAAACTAATTATATCACATAAAGAATATGTACAGTACTGCACAAAAGTGATGGACCACTCTTCATTTACTTAATTTCCAGTCAAAATGGCATTTAAGTTATTCATTTTTCAGGAGATATTTCTATTTCACACATTTCCATAAATGGGAGTTAAAAAAATGGAGATACAGAGAATATGGGATTTCCAACTGCGCAAGACCTGGTAGACCACCAACACTGTTACCATCAGATAACCAGTGCTTATGGCTTTCATCTTTGAGAGAGAGGAGAAAAATCAACCCCCACACTTACTTCAGATCTGAAAAAATCTGTGTTTCTCTCCATCCTTCCACTGTGAGAAGACAACTCAATACTGTGGATCTGAAAAGACGTGTAGCTGTCAAGAGGCCAGTACTAAGATAATTAAATGGGGGAAAAACAAGAACATTTACAAATCGAACAAAAGCTGCTGTTGTTCTCAGAACAATGGACTGACCACTCCCAAGTCCAGACCTCACTGTCATTAAATATGTTTGTAATTACTTGGATCACAGAAAACACAACCAGCTTCTGAGACTGAGCTTTGGAGGTCAAAAAAGCAGAGTGGACACATTAAATACTGAACAATTTGGTATTATATTTAGTTGTTGAGGCTTTTGTGTAATTTTCTGTTAAATAGCTATACGCCTTTTTTCCTGGCAATGAAAAACGAATGACTTGTACTTGATGGCCATTTTGAAACTTGGAAAATTAAACAAATTAAGGGTCTCAAAGTCTCTGACCTTTGCACAGTACTGGAAAAAAAACTATTAGTAGTGTTTTTATTTTTTTTTTAAACGTACGAGCTTTCTTCACAAAATCTAGTTAAACAGACCTAAATATACTCTCTTTGTAATCAAACATGCCAACCCCTTATTAAAAACCTCTGGGTTATGATGACACAGACTTTTTTCCAGCAGTGTGACGGTGCAGTATGAAAACAAACAATCTATGCAGTAATGACACTGATTTTTAAAATTCCAGATGACGTGTTCATCACGATGTATAGCAGATAACCTTAATCCCACAACTTGTGGGTGTTACGGAATCCCCAATGTTATGGATTCCCCCTTCCTGTGGTATTTCTAGGAAGTCACTGTCCTTTCTGAGAGCTCCATTTAGTGTGTTTAAAGCAACATTGTGTGAATGCTGCAGTGTTTGTGTTTTTCTAATGGCACTGACTCTCCTCGCAGGATGTTTGACGTGGGTGGCCAGAGGTCAGAGAGGAAGAAATGGATCCACTGTTTCGAGGGGGTGACCGCCATCATCTTCTGTGTGTCTCTGAGTGACTATGACCTGGTCCTGGCTGAAGATGAGGAAATGGTACGTCACCAAAACTTGTGCCTACTTCCCCACAACTACATCAGCTCTACCTGCTGACTCCACCAGATCATAGGACAGAAACGTTTCCTTCCAGTTGCGCTACTGATTTCTGCTTTTATTTATTTTTTTTTCTTCTTTTTTTAATGTAATTTTTTTTTTTCTTTTTAGAACCGCATGCATGAGAGTATGAAGCTCTTTGACAGCATCTGCAACAATAAGTGGTTCACTGAGACATCCATCATCCTGTTCCTGAATAAGAAGGATCTGTTTGAGGAAAAGATCAAAAGAAGCCCTCTTACCATCTGCTATCCAGAATATGCCGGTATGCTCACCGTCAGTGTTTATAATGCTGTTTCTGTATGTAGTGAATGTTTATTTTACTCTTTCCCTGTCAGAAACTCGATTTAACAAATCATTAATATTTACCTTTTTCATAAATTGACATTGATTATGCAACATACAAAATGGCAAATAATGTCATGACAACAGAGCCTGATAAATACAACTATTTATACACTTTTTCACATAGTGTAGACATACGATAGCTTGCAGTGGATCATCGACTGCCATCACAGATTAACCTGTTTCTCCTGCTTAAACTGGAGAAAATAAACATGCTTTCTAGACAGAAACTTATAGGCTAACTTTGTATGATTTGGCAGTTTTTGATGTAATTTAATTAGGGGTGGGCGATATGGCAATATATCGTGATAATTCTAGAAATTTTCACAATACATTTTTCTTCAGTGTTCTTTAAGTACTGATGATATCCATGATAAAGTCAGAAAACCATGTTTATTTATTTATTCATATTATCATAATCAGCCTAGGCATAGGTTAAATAAATTGCATATTGCATTCACAGCCTATAAATCGCTTTTTGTTAAAATAATAAAACAGCGAAAGCTCAACCTTGTGAAGTAGCCTAAAAGCTACTGTTACTGTAGCTGTGTACTGTCTGTTTTTGTTTTTTATAACTGAAGTAATCACAGCATAAAAATCTTTTGAGTCTTGTTTTGTGAGGGAAGCCGTTCTGAGCATTGAAGGCTGCACAGCTTAATCAGTTTAACAAGCACAACAATGGGTTGGAAGAAAAAATCTACCTCAGCAGAATGTCAGTGCTACAGAATGTCATAAAGCCAAACCACATAACAAGGCTGATTCAGAACATGAACTAATGTTTAACGTTAAAAGAAAATGGGGTGCGCAACGTATAATTACTTTTGTGCATTTTAAAGTCACGAGAAAGTGTCCAACTTGTTGACAACCAAGATAGATGGAAACTAGATACATAGTATTGTCAGTCAACTCAAGCCTAACAGATTCGTTGCTGCCTGAACAAAATGTTGTGTTCAATGGTAACATTCCAGCAGAAGGAAAAAATATTTGAAACTTTTTAGCCAGAGGTAATTCCAGACAATCTCTCTTGGTCTATTCATTTTTCCATTTGTACAATAGCTGCGTTCCAAAAAATGGCTGCAATGTAACTGAACAGCATTTATTAAAATTATTAAAGCCAACAATTCTCATATTATCCCTAATTATAAGTGTGATTTGTTCAAGTGTCTGAGGCATCCTATTTTTCTCGTGCTAAGGCTCCAACACGTACGAGGAGGCAGCAGCCTACATCCAGTGTCAGTTTGAGGACCTGAATAAGAGGAAGGACACCAAGGAGATCTACACCCACTTCACTTGCGCCACAGATACCAAGAACGTGCAGTTCGTCTTTGACGCAGTCACTGATGTCATCATCAAGAACAACCTGAAGGACTGCGGACTGTTCTAGAGCGTGTCGTCACACGGTGAGTAAAAACCGATTATGACTGGTTTGTCTTGCGTGGAGCAGCCAAGCTTGAAGAGCTTCACAATCCTCTAAGTACGGCATGCAAATCTAAATATAGTAGCTCTATTCTGGTGTCACTATCAGCCATCAGTTTTTTACAGATGACTTATTTTTACCTTTATCGCTTTGTTTTTGTCTCTTGTTTACAGCGAGATGAGAATGGGACAACATGGCATCCTTGGGAGAAGCAGGGCTGGAGCGAGGTCAACCATGAACACGATGCGTTACGTAAACATTTTATTTATGTTCTCTGAACATTTTTAAATGATGTTTTAGGAAAAAGAAACCTTTGTGTAAAATATTTGTACAACTGTAATTGTTGCTGGACTTTTTCACTGTTTTTGAAATAATTTGCAGGTCCTATTTTGAAGGGTATTTTTTCACTCTTGAGGTTTTTGGGAACATCTTTCTTTTATTTTCTTTTTTCCCCCCTCTCTCTTTCTACTCTAGATATGAAGGTACACGTGCCTTGCATGTTTGCAGTTAAGTTGCTGTGCTTGAGTTTGTCATCTAAGTTGTTCAAGCTGTAGCCGTAGTCGTCGATATGTAATCACTCGCCTAGCGGGAGCGCATTTTTGTAGGCAGGACCCAGATCATGAAAGAGCTCTATTGTTAGACCAAATGCAAATTTAAAGCCGACTTAAAATTCCAAGGTGTATGTGTGAAGCCTGACTGACTAGAATAGGTTACAGAGATTCCTCCGTGTGCAGCCCTATCCGCTGGACGGGCTCTTCCAGAGCAGCTCTGGAATTTGCATGCAGCATGTGAAATTCGCCTGTAGTTGGTATGATGACCAATGATTAAGATACACATTCAGAATGAAAATAGCTAGAGGTAGTTGGAATGAGGAAATAGTTTCGCTTTGGACAGTCAGCACAGTTTCAAAGAGGAACTAAACTCAAGACGTTCTTTAGGGAGATGTTGACCAGTGAGATGGGCATTTGTTGATCAGAGGGAGTAGGTTTGTGTTTTAAATATGTCTGTCTTTCTCCTTTATTTGACTTTGAAAGGGACCAAATTTACTCTTATTCCATCATTTCTGTAGCAAACAAGCACCCATTCTCATATCAGACTATTGAACTGCCTGTACATGATAAATTTGGTAGAAAACATGAATGATGTGATATGCCAGACATTCTCACAGTTATTTATGACAAATTTGAATGGTTTTATGCATTATGTCCCTCACTCTGTTCTCATTGGTTGGGAACAAACATTGACTAATATCCACTATTTTGCTAATAAAACGTGCTGTGATTAAATCATGGCATCTTGAAATAGAAGTTGAAGTGTTTGTGTTGTTTGTCTTCTTGCTGTTGTGTGTTTTAAGTGTGCAGGTGATTTTTATTTATTTATTTATTGGAGGTAGTGAACCAGCGAGTCCCTGTCAATTTTTTGAAAGCTCTGCAGTCAGCAGGGTGAAGGGCCACTGGCTGGTCAGCATGTGGCACTCCATTCTTATAATGCGCTTTTATGCGCCGGCATTCTTTAGCGATCTGTTTAGTTCTCTGTATTGTTTTTTTTATCCAACTAGCAAATGATGGGAGAGCTTTAAAGCCTGATTCCACAGATTTTTGGAGAATTTTTTTAAATAATCAAGATGTGAAGTGGTGTTGTGTAATGCCTCATTCAAGAGAAATTTACCAAGTTAGAATTGTTCACAGTGGTGGTGATAGGAACCAGACGTCCTCAGTGTTTAATGACTCTAAAAGCTCCTCACAGAAGGTTTTTACAGGAAATGGTTACAAGTACACAGACTGATTACTGAGAGACTGTTTCACAACAGTTTTGGCCTGAAATATTTTTTTTTTAAATCTGTTCATGGTGGTGAGGTACATGCTGGGCCTTCTGAGGCCAAATAGTCCCCCTAAAATCTGATTTTCTGGGTTTTTACCATTACTGACCTTACATATAAAGGTTCACCTGTGATTTTGGATGGTAAATAAAATCACTATATTTGTGTTGCGACGCCTGTTTTCAATCATCACTGTAAAGAAACCTGAGTTAGTATGTTTTTCAACCGCTGAAATTATGGAGAAATTCTGAAAAAATTGGTGCACTTCCCCTTTGAATGTGCAAATGAATCTTTTGCTTCCAGTCAGTATTTTAAACCTGAGCTCTCAGCTGTTGGTGTGTTTCTGTTTAATCAGTTACATTAAATTATAGTTCTTTTCTTTCTAAATCAGAGTTTGTAGATCTGAAAACTCTAAAACTGACCTCTGGTTAGTATTTCTTCGGTGCGGGTGTCTGACCAACTATTGGACCATACTGCCCTCTGCTGGTGGTCATTGCTGTTAAAACAGTGTGACTACATGAAGTCTTTATTCTGCCCAGTGATGGTAAATTGAAATGCATTGAGGAAACTTCTTTCCTAAAGTAATTATTGAAACCAGCTGCTATAGATCAAATACTTAAACATTGTGTTCTGGTCATCCCTAAATGTAATGAAATCCTATGAACGTGTGGCGCTAGCACACAATTTGTGCTTGAAGTGTGTTAATCTGGGTAAATGAGTTCTAATTCATTCTGTACATCTCTAACACTTCAGAAAAACAACTAATCCTGTTTTTTCTGCTTGAATTTACATGGCAATATCTTTCTAGAAAAACGTGTTTTGTCGTACTTAAACACAGTTTAAATCTTTAGAAAATGATAATCATCCTGTAATTTGTTTTTATTCTTTTTCTGCAGTGAGAAGCACCAAAAAGCACAAAGAACTTCCAGTTGTTCAGCTATTGGTGAATAATATTTTAAAGCATTGTTTATTATAGTAAAATATTAATTTGTGATATCCATATGTGGTCTCACCTACACTAGAACGTTCATTCTATATATATGTATGTGTGTGTGTGTGTGTGTGTGTGTGTGTGTGTGTGTGTGTGTGTGTTATATATCTAATATATTAAAATGCAAGTATCTACAGTGTTGGCAGTAATAGATTACATGTAATCTGATTACAAAAAGCAAGTTATAGTCAGAATAGGGTGCCACTAAAAAAAGGTAATCAGATTATTTACTTTTTATGCATTTCTGTTTTTCAGGATTACATCAAATATAGAGTTGAATCCTAAATTGCGTTACGGCTGTTTCACTACGACTTGTGATTTTAGTGGAAAAACAACAAAGAATGGTGAAGGGGGCACTAGGACCGTATGTCCAGATGGTTTGAACTTTATGAAAACAATTTACCATTTGTGAAGCCAACTAAAGTAAATAAATGTCAGAAATAGTCCAACAGCAGTCAGATTAGATTATGCCTTTTAAGCAGTCTGAAAGATAACGTTGCTTATTACATTCTGAAGTGGTCTTCCAGCAGAAATGAGTCCCGCCTCATTTTTCTTGAGTTAGTTGATGTGACAGAGACCTTCCAGTCCACATCTGGATGATTAACCCTCCTCACAGTCATCACCGTATTATGAACATCCATCTGTTGAACTATGTACTTTTTTCCTTCAGTAATGTTGATGGAATATTTTGAAGCGAGCTGGTTTTTTGTCTCCACAGGTGAACTAACAAGTCAGCATTTATAGAAGTGCCTGTGTATTGTGTTCAAATGCTATTTTTATTGTAGCAGTTGATATAAAGAAATCTGCTGCTATGCTCTGTTTTATCAGTACAGCTGTCTTTGTGGAGAAGTGTGAATGTTTCCACAGCAGGGGGTTCTCGCCCTCCCCTTTCACCCTCATTGCTCACCAACAGCTCCACACAGTCACAGCATTTCACACACAGAGAGCCAACAGTGACCTAGTTAACCTTATAACAGAGCTGCAGGGAGAAATGTTTTCTTTGATTATATTAATTAAATATATTCACGTCAGTTTCCACTCCACCTGCAAAACGGCCACTAGAGGGCCTGCAGAAAGAGGTTAACGGTGTCCAAACATTTCTCCCAAGAGGGCTGGATTGTGCTGTGTTAAAACACCTGACGGCAGACATATTTTTCACAAATGATTCAAAATATGAAATTTTCTAAAATATCAGTGCATAGAATCTGAGCTTTCTGTGAGCTACCATGTTTCCTATCACTGTATAAAAGATGCACAAGGTTTCTTTCATTGTTGGATTGTTCATTCAGAACAGTTTGAATCAATAAGCGCTTATAATAAATAAATTGTTTAAGAGTAACAAAACAACATGTCTAATGTATTAATCATATTCCTATTCAAGTGTTTACTTGTTGAGAAATATAATTTGTGAGACAAACTAAACAAAAATCTATACATTTTTGGTTTTGTAATGTTTGGTAATGTTCTTTACGTGTCAAATAAACACAATGTAGCCATGTTTTTGTTGGACCCTAAAGGGTTAATTTTTACGGAACTGCTGAATTTGCTCTGATAAGAAGTTTTCCATCTTGCCAAAATCGGCAGTTTTCAGTGTTTAGTTTGAGCTTTATGTCTGTAGTTCTGACTAAATGTCGTTCAGTAAATGAAGCTGCAGGTCTGGTCAGCTGCCACCATCAGGTGAATGGGAGAACTGCAACACACTGGCTGGTGGCCACTTATAATACACTATTACACAGAAGCCGGGGGCCTCATTTGGCCCTGGGGCCAGACTGGACACTCCTGGGTTAAGAGGTCAAATTCTCACCTAACTTTATCTCCTATAATACTCCCACCCCATAAACTATATCTAGTGAAAAACTCTTTAATTCTGTCTGCTCAGTCTCCCATGTAGGTCCATAGAGCCGCCACTCTATTTTGAGGAAGGTTGGGATTTAAAGTCGAGTGATTAGACTAATCTCTCAGGCCTCCCAGGCAGATCAAACAAATGCTTAATGGAGCAATGTACAAAAGAAAAGGTACCAGGAAGGAGATGATACGCCTGATCAAAAGCCCCCCGGTGGTCCCGAACCGGGCAAATAGTGTCGAACACAGCCGTACAGCAGCCCCCAGTCTGATCAGTCATATGACCAGTTATGCTGCTGTAGTGCTGCGAGTGATTACTCAATGTATCTGAATCTTATGTATGCAGTAGCATTAGCATTAGCATTCACCTTATAATGAAGAAGACACTTCAAATTTGGACTTGCAGAGCAGTGTTACTTCACTGGTACTTCACAGTCAGGGTTGGTGCACAGTGGTGGGCACAATGTTCATGTATGGGACAGAGGGGGAAATCTTGCAAAAATGTAACATGCACTAACTGGACACTTCATTAAGTACACCTACCTTGTATCTATGTCCATTTTAAGAGCTCCACTTCCCAAGTAGGTGCACTTTGTAAGTTTACAATTACAAACAGTAGTCCATCTGTTTCTCTGTATACTCTGTTAGGCCCCTTTCACCCTGTTCTTCAAAGGTCAGGACCTCCACAGTACTGCCACAGAGCAGGTATGATTTGGATGGTGGATTGCAGTGACATTGACACAGTGGTGATGTATTAATGTGCATTGTGCTGGTGCAAGTGGATCAGACAACAGCGCAGATATATGGCAGAGGCAAAACTGTGCCAACCGACCCCTTTTTGTCTTTCCATGACCTGGAGAAAGTAATTCACTATACATTGGTTAGGGCAAAATGCTGCTGCCAGGTTGCTTACTGGCTCCAAGTAAGACCATATTACAGCAGTCCTTGCATCGCTTCATTTACAGCCAGTTCATTTTAGGACGCAGTTTCAGTGGTTTAAAGGATTCAGTGCTTTTGTTTTTAAAGCACTTAGTGGATTGGCTCCATCTATTTTTGAGTTACTCGCATCTTCCACTACTCACAGATTCTTGTGATCTTCACATAATTTGCTGGCTGTTTTTAAGTCACGGTGGGAACTTAAGGGCGACTGTGCTTTTGCAGTTTGCACCCCAGGACTGTGGAACAACCAACAAACACTTTGGTCAAAGAAAGTTCTTTTAAAATGTGCTTTATAAATATATCCTACGTACATACTTACAAATTAAGAGGTCATAATTAGCCAAATCAGATATACTGGAATATCAATGCTACTTCAGTCCTTCATCCTAACAATCTGCAAAATACTGGAAAAGAACGGTTCTATCTGAGACTAAAGCATTTATCCAAACTGTAACCCATTCATTAGTTCATTCATTCATTCATTCAACCATTAATTAAACCAGGCAAGTCATTAGGATCAAATTCTTATTTACAGCGGTGTCAAGTGCCAGAAGGCCTTTGTGGGAAAGGAGGAACAATGTATAAAAAAGGAAAACAGACATGCTAATTATAGCAATAAGGACATAGCAACACAGGACAAAAACAAGCTAAATATGGCAACATGTGAAAATTAGGAATTAGGAATAAAACAAGTGCAGGAATCACCAAAAATGTCTTTGATTACACCCTTAACAACAGGAAATGGAATACATTTACTTGGTTAGAATGTTTTTGTAATGTGTTCCAGTCTTTAGCAGCAGCAAATCACAGTAATGAAAGACCAAAGGCAGCACCGGATTTAGAAAACTTCAACTGCACATGAAAGGAGAACCAGACGCTAGTTGCGGTACACTCTGGTTCGGACTTTAATTGGTGTAGAAGCTTCACATTATGTAGAGTCTTTAAACCTTCTTCACTCTCACACATCATCTCCAAAATCCCTCTTTAAAGAACCATCAAATAAAGGTTTTAGAAGAAAGCAAAAGTGGTACTTCTATTGTACAGGCATCCAATCCTGGTCCTGAAGATCTACCATCCTGAGGAGCTCAGCGACAACCCTCATCTAACACACTTGATCCAGGTAGTGAAGACCTTCAGGGGCATCCAGGTGTGCTGGATCTGAACTCTCCAAGGTGGTAGACCACCAGGACCAGGACTGGGCAACCTTGTTTTATGGCATCTCTCCAAAGAGAATATTTCTTGGCATCTTTATTTTTAAGGAGGTTAGTGATGCCAAGTTTTGATCACAACTTATGCTTGGTTCTCCGGTACAGTGGCTGCAGCGGGATAATGTAGAGAGCACATTCCACTGTGCACACAAATTTGGAGGATATCAACTTGTGGGAAATCTAAATACTGCTGGTACCACGTAGCTTTGGTAATGATCCAGTTACTGTATTACCACCAGTTTGCTAATAACTGTGTAATCACATAATGACTACATAGCAATGTAAGTAATGTTTTGTCTATGTGTTACATTGTGTCCCACTGAAGGCTTTATTAAGCTATTTTTACCTGTTTCAGTGAATTCCGAGTTCCTATAATGAGCTCCATGAGCATGTCTGAAGTATGAAGGCACCGAAACTGGAAATCTGATACTGAGTTACAGAACAGGATCATGGAAAGTGTTACTGGAGGTGATGAATACTGGAAAAGCCTTCACTGTAGTAAGTTCCTTGTCAGACCTCTGTTGTCATTTACAGTATTGTGCAAAAGTCAGAGACCACCTTCATTCATTTAATTTATTCATTATTCATATAACTCATCATTTGTTATTTATTTTTCAGGAGACATTTCTGAATAGACACAAGATGATCCACTTGCATATAAGGAAGGGGAAAGTCAAAAGGCAAAGGGTGAACACAGTAAACGTTAATTATTTAATGTAGTTATGTTACAACTGATGTTTGGGGGAGGAACATGCCTGAAACCCCTCTTTCTTCCAATCTAACGCCCTATAAATTCATATCCTCACCTTCTGTTCCTGTGATAAAGGGTTCGCAATCCCCACCGTCACCCCATCTCCTCCGTGATATGTTCCTTAGTCCTACATCAGTCCTGCTACAGGTTGGGGGGGGGGGGGGGGTTGGGGGGGGGGCTGGCCTTCTAGCTACAGGCTGCCCAGAGCTTCAGCCCAAGTTCTCAGAGCAAACACCCCACCCCTCTCCGATGATATATATGTTTTCTGCTTTTTTCCCTGACACTGAAAAATGAATAACTTACTTAATACTTAAGTACTTAAAGGCCATTTTGACTGTAAATAAAATAAATGAAGGGTGGCCTCTGACTTTTACACAGTACTGTAGTTCTTTGGATAAGCTGACTGATTTATATTTGAAATATAAGAGGTCATGTTTGGGTTTTAAAAGTCATAGAGTCAGTCATAGAGTCATAGAGACATCCCTTCTCCATAGAAAAGCTTTGCCAATAGAACAGGACACTCTAGAGCAGTCGTACATAAGCGTTCAGGTCACCATTTCCTTTCGGCTAAAAAGGTATAAACCCCCCATCACTGGGCTGTGGAGCAGTGGAACTGCATTCCCAGGAGTGATGGAGCTCCACCCAATACCTTGAAGATGAGCTGGAGTGATCAAGAACTGATTACCCAACATCAGTACCTAACCTCACTAAAGCTCTTATGAATGGCTGGATGCAATCAAATCCTCACAGCTATGTTACATCATCCATTGTAAATCCTTTCCAGAACCTTTCCTACAGCAAGGGGATGAACTCTGTATTACTCTGTAATACTCTTGATTTCAGCAGAAACGTTGGAGGGGGAAGATGTCCACAAACTTTTGGACATATAGATATTTTCCCCCAAAGCTCTGCAACAGACTGAAAGACACTTATTATAGAAGTTTCGGACACAGATTTGGAAAAGAATGCTTTATAACTGTATTATAATCCCCCATATAAATCTATAAATAGTAAATATGCCTGCTAAACAGTAGGCCTGAACAACGATGAGGATTTAAGGCCATAACAACGTCCATATAATTGTGTTTAGGCTCACAGTAACACTAATGCAGGACCTAGTGCATGATCCCCGTAATCCTAATCCAGACAATTCAAGATTAAAGCAGCATCCACTTTAGTAAGGCACACTACCCTCTAATCTGCATATTATCTGCCAAATCTAATTAAAGTTTAACCTTAAATAGTCCTGGGTCACATCATATTTGCCAACAGCATAATGAGTAATAAAGCATAAACAGTGACTTTAACAATATATGGTCATATAAGATCAGGAAAAATGTATAAACATGTTTAAGCCTTTCACCAGGCTGAGAAAGAGATTAATAAAAAGGTTTTTGTGAAGCTAAAAAAGTGGGGCATCGGTTCAGGGTTATGACTAAAGAGGCCTGAGTGCATTTTCTCATTCACAGCAAATGTTTCCAAGCACTCAACAGCCTCTTCAATATTGAATGAAACTATCTCTTGTCACCCTTGTATGGATATTAAAAAGTAATGACAACAAAGAAATCTCTTGTTTTTTTCGGCTTCAGATAAACGGCAGGGTGAAAGTTTAACGAAGCTCAAGTCAGCTTCTCGTTCGTCAGCTTCTAGTTGGAATTGCCCCGTTCCACCTTAAATGGTGCAGCAGGCGCCAGAATGGAACTGCTGCACCATTTAAGGTGGAACGGGGAAATTCCAGCTAGATGCGAGCGAATAGCGCGCCAACTTCAGCCTCGTCAAAGTTTCTCCTCACACTGTGGTCAGAAAAAGCCCATAGGTTCTCTTTTCAAACAACTGGTCATCTCGAGTGTCCCTTAAAATCTAAAACCGTGTCTGCGTCAGCGTTACGGTGCGGAATGAAGTCCGAACCGAACCGTCTGGACCACGTTTTCATTCTCCTTTTAGCTCATTCCTCCTTTCGTACACATCACATCCGGGTCACTCGCCAGTCATTTTGTGTGTGTGTGTGTGTGTGTGTGTGTGTGTGTATGTGTTTGTGTGTGTGTGTCTGTCTGGTCCTCCGCTGCCTGCGTTCTTTCTTCCCCCACCCGTATTCCGACAAGCCCCGCCCCTCTGTGCCAGGATTGGCTAGGAGTTCATATTCCGAGGCAATGAGCCAGATTAGCCCTGTATAACCTTAAAAACGTTTAGGCAGCGTTACTTTTCTGTCTTGGGTGACCATTTAGCGCTTAAATCGGGCAGATTAACTTTGTAACATTTGCTGACAGATATTATAAAGACTATTTAAATGCAGGACCATACAGCAGTCTTCCTGGAGGCCCACTGCCCTGTGTTGCCCCTGCTCCCAACACACCCGGGGGATATTCAACAAAGGATTTCTCAGTTTAGCTAGATAATTTAAGCCCAAAATAAAGCCTGTCCAATAGGAAAAGAGCTGAGGGGCATTCCCATTGGACAGTCATCATCTTTGGGATTCAGTTATCTTGCAATCTGAGAAATCCTGCTTCTTGGAAACCCCCCTGATCCTATTAATCAGATAATTAGCAGCCCATTATTGAGTTAAAGTGGAAGGAAAAGCACTATAATGTGCAGGACAGTGGGCGTCCAGGAACAGGGCTGAGAAACACTGACATACAGGACCACCAGGACTATTTAAGGTTAAACATAATTAGATTTGGCAGATAATATGCAGATTAAAGGGTAGTGTGCCTTACTAGAGTGGATAGTGCAATAATCCCGAATTGTCTGGATTAGGATTACCCTGGCAGGTGCGCCAGGTCCTGCAGTTTACAGTTATAGGCCTGAAGGCAAGTGTATGGACGCTACAGTCATCATGTATTTGATTGGCGGATTTCTTGTAACCACTAACCTATCTGAGAGGAGAATAAGGGTTACAAATAACCAATCAGAGCGCAGGACGCAGAAGCGCCGATCCAGGCGTACGCATTGGGATACTACAGCGAATCCCAGTGCAGAATACATGAGCCAATCCAAACGCAGGACGCGAGGAGTGACTATACTGGCCAGTCCGAGCGAAGTGGGCGGGGCTTGTCCGAATACTGGTGCGTAAAAAAAAACCCAAACGCGCTGCGCAGCGCTGCAGCTTTCGGTGAACCGTGCTGCAGCTGCATGCACTACGATACAGGCGTCAGGAGCGAGCGGCGCTGGCGTGAAGAGCGAGCAGCAGCACGCAGGCTGGCAGGCAGGCAGGTATGAAGGGCCACCCGGCACACACACGTTGGTAGGCTAAGACCGGTCAGTCAGCGATGTCCAAGAGCCTGAAGAAGAAGAACCACTGGACGAACAAAGTCCACGAAGCGGTGCTCACCAGGAACAAGGAGGGCGAGCTGGGGTTCGAGCTGAAAGGCGGCGCCGAGAACGGCAACTTCCCCTATTTCGGGGAGGTGAGGCAGGGCAAGGTGGCCATCCAGACCGGCAAGCTGGCCCAGGACGAGCTGCTTCTGGAGGTCAACGACACGCCGGTGGCGGGGCTCACCACGAGGGACGTGCTGGCCGTCATTAAGCACTGCAAGGACCCGTTCAGGCTCAAGTGTGTGAAGCAAGGTGAGGCTAACGGTTTACGGGGTAAACATCAGGGCTGCGCGCGTGTGCGCGTGCGTGTGCATTCCCGTGCTCTGCGTGTGTGAGTGTGCACGGCTGTCTCGGCTGTAGACGCTGCTCCAGTGTGATTAGGCCACATTATGGGCTGTGTTTACGCACCGGACCGATTCTGCCTGCTCGTACAGTGTGTTATCGGTACAGTAGGTGGAGCTGCTGGTGTCAGTCTCAGACCATCGGGCCGCTTTCATTGGTCATTTTGGGTTGTGTCAGCATCAGTCCGGCTCGCTCTTATCTAACAGCCTTAATGAATTTTGCAGCCCAGGTTCCTCTCTCTCTCTCTCTCTCTCTCTCTCTCTCTGTCTCTCTCTCTCTCTTTCTTTCACACACACACACATACACACACACACACACACTCCATCTGTGCTGTGTGTTGTGCAGTGTGTCTCGATGGTCTGGTTTTCTCTGAGCTCTCTTGCCTTTGGCTGCTCAATAAGGACACAAAGCTGTGTGAGGGTGTGAGGGGCAGTGAAAGGGGCTGTGTTTGTGATGTGAGACAGTAAGGACTGGAGAGGGGTGGTCTCACACATTGGTTTCCACTTTGACACCTGGAGCCCCACATGGATGTGGAGAGAGTGATCAGGACGGATCTAAATATATCAGATTTCTCACTATTCAGTGTGTCCAGTCTTTGCCTTCATTACGGCTTCCATTCCGTTCAGGAGTCTTGCTTCAGTTTTCCAAAGAAATCTGCAGGGATATTTTTCCACACCTCACACCAGATCGGTCTTAGAAGTTGGTTGTAGTTTCTACTTCTTACAATTAAAGTAATCCCAAACACATTCAGTGATGTTGAGGTCTGGACGCTGGGGCGGGCAGTACTTTGTTTTGAGAACATTTGAGCAGTTGAGCTCTTCTGCTGCTGTAGCCCATCCACCTCAAGGTTTGATGTGTTGTGCTTTTCGGACCACCACTGTTGGTGTGGTTATTTGAGTTACTGTAGCCTTTCTGTCTGGTCAAATGAGTCTAGCCATTGTCTTCGGTCCTCTCTTATCAACAGGGAGTTTCTAGCAGTTCCACAAAACTTCCACTCATTGGATTTTTTGTTTTTCGCACCATTCTGTGTAAACTCTAGAGACCGTTGTGCATTATAAATCCCATGAGAGCAGGAGTTTCTGAAATGCTCAGCAAAACTGTGACTCTGCAGTTTTGTGAATCAACATTTTATTAATTATGCCATCTAATGCAGTTACATTATTTGAGCACCGGAGTTCACCAGTCAGCACCTTACTTCTGCACTCTTCCTGCATCTCAGCTCTAGTGTTATTAGTAAGTTGTGCAGCAAAGTGTTTATAGTCATCATGTTTCTGTTCAAATTTTGTTCAGTGTTGTGAGAATACAAAATTGTGAACCTGTAATCGTGAACTGAATCAAATCAAACTATGTACTAAGTATATCAATAGTCTGCTATTGGCCGATTGGATGGTTGCATGAATGTACTGGTGAACAGTACATGTATGATTGCATGACAAGCCACCTAATAATATGGCTGGGCATGCAGTCATACATACAGTGCTATAAAAAAAGAAATTGCCGCTTCACTTTCTAAAGAGACTCAAGTACAGATGCGAAACAAAGTCAATGAATCTAATCTGTAAAAGGTTGCAAAGCCATTGCTAAGGCAATTAAGGTTTTGGAGTGTCCGAAGTCCTGACTTGAATCCCATCTCAAGACCCAAGACGGACAGTTCATGCTCGAAAACCCCCCAAAGTAGCCAAATTAAAACACTTCTGCAAAGACACGTGGGCCAAAATGCCTGAACAATGATGTAGAAGACTCATCGCAAGTTATTGCAATCGTTTGATTGCAGTGGCACAACCGGTTGTTAGGTTTATGGGGGCAATTACTTTTTCACATGGGTGATAATCTTCATCTTCAATAAATGGAATGGAGTAATGGAATAAAAGCTGCATTTTGTGTTTGCGCTCATTGTCTTTATCTTCTATTAAAAATATTTGAATGATCTGAAACATTTAAGTGTGATAAATTAGCAAACAGAAGAAATCAGGTGAGGGGCAAATACTTTTTCACGGTCCTGTACAAGCTAAAATCTAGACATTTACACTGGATATTTTTCAAGTAATTTTTTACAAAAAATACAGAGGAAATGAAAAAAGAAGTTATGAGCTTTTGAAGTGACAGTAGCTTTATGTGTGTGTGTCTGTGTGTAAACCCTCGCTATGTATAGAAAGAAAGAAGAAAGCAGTGGAGTTCAGGGGTGCCAACTGAATATGCCGTCGGCTGCCAGTGTGAAAATCAAGCTCTTGAGGACTTGCTAGAACACTGTTATGTGGGCTGAATATAAGCATTCTAACAGATCTTAACCAGTCAGGTTCCGTGTGGTGCTGTAATGATCAGACTTTGATGTAATGGGGCCAGACTGCTGTGTGTTCAGTGCGCATGTGTTGTTGGCACTTGACCAGGACTCACTCTTGTGGCTGAGTGGTTATAGACAGTTACATGCCACAGTTGTCATAATGACCCAGTTCTGACAGGAACTATTTAAATGTCCGTGAGTGTACTCAACTAGGACTGCTTCAGTTTACAATGAACATGTTTACATATTGTTCATTCTGTGTGTTTTGGTAGAAAATATGTTCCCCTTTGCAGTTATAATTCATATATAGTCCTAGTCAGACCTTTTTCCTTGTAGTTAAAACATCCACATCTTCACAGCAGTGAGTATTCGTTTCGGTTGTATTATAACCTTCACGATTATCTGTTTCACAGAGTTCATGATTTTTTGTTTTCATATTTTTGTTCACCAGAGTTCTGTTACTACAGTACCCAGCATTCTTCATGCAAATACATCATACAACAAATACATCATCCCTGTGGTGTCAACTAGGTGTGGGCAATATGACAATATTTTATCGTCATCATCATTCATCTTCTAAGATGCTTATCCTCCTGGGTCGAAGGGGGGTGCCCGAGCCTATCGCAGTGGTCATTGGGCAGAAGGCAGGAAACACCCTGCACAGGCAGCCAGTCCATCGCAGAGCAGACACACAGACACACACATTCACAAATTGGTATCTCCAGTTTGCCTGACCGGAGGAAACCGGGTCACCTGGAGGAAACCCACGCAGACACTGAGAGAACTCCATACAGAAGGGACCCTGGATGCCTGGCCGGGGAATCGAACCCAGTGCTGCCCAATGGACCATCATGCTCCTTATCGTCATCATGATAAATTATATTACAGTACGCTTTTCTGAGCATATTGTGGATATCGTCGGTCCTTAAAAAACACGGACCAACTATGTTCCACTACAAAGTGAGCACAGTTAGGCCTGTTAAATTAGATTTAGTACAGTACGCTTAGCAAAACACTGAATAAAAATGATTGTAGTTTAAATCTATTATTATTATAGTATTTTTGTATGTAGCACTAAAGGTTCTGTTTTGTCTGTACCAACTTATTAAGTCTCAGAACAACTAAGTACAGTGATGCATATTGTGTATTGTGAAAATGTCTCAAAGTATCACAATGCAGTTTTCTTTGTTATATTGTCCACCCCTAGCATCAGCCAATCCTGACTACAAGCCTAACCACTTATAGGCTAATAAATACAACCAAGCCAGCATTAGTGTAAGTCTTACCTCCACTGATGAACAAAACTGGAAGAAAAAAAAACGTTTTTTTTACCATTTCAGTCAGATAAAAAAAGCCAAACTGAGAAAATGTATCTTTAAGGTACATCATTAGAAGGGGAGTCTCCTAGTCCCTAAACCGGAAAGGTTCACTCTAGAGACTAATATGCCATGAGTGGGCATTTTTACAATGACTGCAGTGTTGGCTACATTGTTTATCTTGGCCCTTCAGTGTGCTGTCCTCACTGGGACGGTCTTGTGACTTTTTGCCCTTGTTGTCCTTGAAAGACGTCCTTGTTGTCCTTTCTTCCCTGCTGTTTTTTCCCCTAATTGTTATCAGCATGGTCTGTAGCAGGTCTCAGTCATGAGCGATCTTTTCCTTTGTGATTATGTAATACATTTAATTTGTATGAATAGCTTTGTAAATTGATTATCACAAACATGACACTTATCAAATTTTACCAGCCGGAGGGTCAAAAAAATGTGTTTTGCTTTGAAGTGTAATTTTCCCTTGATATTTCAGATTATTATGCTATGCTATGACAAATTATCCTCAGAGATGTTTGATATTTCATTTTTAATTTCGCAGTCTTTTAATTACAGCGTTCCCCTTATTGCAATATATTTTTCAATCTTCATCTTTGAACTCAGCTCAGTCTGTATTGAGTCATGTGCTGCTAAAAATGCTCCAGCACAAGTTGTATACACATGGGCAGAATCAGTCATAGACCCCGTTTACGCCTGGTCACTTCATGCGTCTTCAGTGTCAGGATTATATCTGGATAAGGCCAAACCACATAAAAATGCAAGTGTAAACGCACCCAAGACGCATTTAAAACAGATATATCTGATCACTCAGACCGCTTCAGGAGGTGGTCTGAGATGAATCTGAGCCACGTTATAGCAGTGTAAATGCATCCGTCTCTCCAAGATACATCGACAACCAAAATTCCTCCCAGTACAACCGAAACTCTTCCCCGTGCAGTATGTCACTGGGCTCGTGCTTCGTGACTATGACTGGACGAAACTAAATGTTTAATAGCAGTATGGACAGACACTACTTTGCAAAACAAACTGCGGACGAACAGGCTGAACGATAATGATATGATAATGATAAACAATTGGTAACGAGTGGATTTACATATTCCATCCCACACAGTAATCGGATTTCAGTCTGACTAACCGGAGACACATTTGACTACACACTAAAAAATGAGAAGTCAGCTCAACTTAAGATGATATAGTAACTGATTACATGGCTTTTCTTGTGTTGACTCAACTTGGGGACATCAGAGTTCACACAACTCAAACTTCTTAGTTGAGTCAAAAATTCTCCCAGCTACTGTTTTTAG